TGTTCCTGAGTCAAAATGAATTGAAGCCGGGCGGTGGTGGTGGTGGTGGTGGTGGTGGTGGTGGTGGTGGTGGTGGTGGTGGTGGTGGTGGTGGTGGTGCATGCCTTTAATCCCAGCACTCAGGAGGCAGAGGCAGATCTCTGTGAGTTCAAGGCCAGCCTAGTCTACAGAGCCAGTTCCAGGACAGGCTCCAAAGCAACACAAAGAAACCCTGTCTCGGGAAAAAAAAACAATAGTTTGGAAGCTTCTATTTCATAGGCAATATATTACAAATGAAAACTCATTATAATAAGGAGAGTATGAATACTGATCCATATTGACCTGATTTTTTTCTATCAGTTTATTGAATCTTTAGAGTGTGACAGGTTAGCCAGGTTGCCAAATGAAAACAGTACTACCTCTAGTTGACTACTTAAGTCTGAAGTTGAGTGTTATAAAGATTATCTCATTTTAATCTTCATGAGAACCCCATGAGATAAGTACTCTTATGACTGTTCCCATTTTACAAGCTAGAAAAATGTTTAAGAAGCTAAGAAATTTAAGCACAGGCATATATACTATTGGAGGAGCTGAGGCTTGAACTCCGGTAGTCTAATCTACAACTCATTCACATACCAGAAGTTCTATGGCCTCCTCAACTTCACTCCAACTTAATGATGGAGAGTATGAGTTACACCCTCATGTATGTAACTTGTCTATTAGACTCTGTATTGGTTCTATAAAAATAGTAAAGGAAACACCTGCACATCCATCTCGCTCCATTTGCCCTGGGACTTAGCTGCATGGATTAAGAAACTCCCACAGTAGAAGATGTGAAACAGTCAACAGGAAACCAAAAGGAAAAACCTTAGAGCTTCAAGGATTTAGGTTCACACCTAAGCAGTTTTGCAATATTTAAGTTTTCCCTTAATTCCTACTGTGAAGGATTATAGTCTCCCCTAGGGCCCTTTTAACAGAGGGGGACAAAGTGTGTAACTGTTTCAGGTCTCCAAAAACAATGCTTATGATTTCCTACTTAAATTCCTGGCTTCTCTTTAAAGCAGGAACACTTAATTCCTCACTAACAAAATCACAAGCCTTATTATTTTATTCAGAAGATATTTTGCCCACAATCTGTTATGGTTCAAATAATATCTTCAGAGCCTGAGACACAGGAGTAAGCAAAACAAACCCCTTGAACTCATGGACTCTTACATTTAAATAAAGGAGATGGGCAGTAACCAATTATGTATGTTTTATTGAGAGATAAAAGTACTATGAAGGAGCTGGAGAGATGGCTCAGAGGTTAAGAGCACTGGCTGCTCTTCCAGAGGTCCTGAGTTCAATTCCCAGCAACCACATGGTGGTTCACAACCATCTGTAATGAGATCTGGTGCCCTCTTCTGGCCTGCAGCATACATGCAGACAGAACACTGTATACATAGTAAATAAATAAATTTTTAAAAAATGTTTTTTAAAAAATACTATGAAGAAAATTGTTGGAGGAAGGCATTGAGGTAGGCAGAATAGTTACCCACTCCTAATTCCTTGAATTATGTCAATATGCAAGGAGAAATTAAAATTATATACATAATTAAAACTACTGGTCAGCTGTCCTTAAAGAGGTAAGGTTTTCTTACATGATCCATGTAGTGCAACATATAAGGACCCTTTAAATTTGGTCAAATCACAGGACAGTATCAAGAGTAACTTCGAGAAAGGCTAAATCACTGTTGAGGACTTTAAAAATGGAAGCAGGTAGCCACAAGCCAAGAAATATTGTGGAGCTACTAGGAACTGACAGGAAAGAAGTGGCTTCTCCCCAGCTGCCTTAAGAAGGAAACACCCACACCTGGAGTTTAGCTTTGTGAAACACATCATTTTTCTGACCTCCAGAACTACAATAAATTTCTATCATGTAAAGCATCAAATTCCCAATAACATGTTAAAGCAATACATGAAACTATATTTGGGCTTTTCAAGATAAAAAGAGGTAGAATGTGTTTGGTGTGTGTGTGTGTGTGTGTGTGTGTGTGTGTGTGTGTGTGTGTGAGAGAGAGAGAGAGAGAGAGAGAGAGAGAGAGAGAGAGAGAGAG